CAATCTATGGTGGCGTGATACACCACTAGCCAATCCATCCCTAAAATTACATCAAATCCCCCGTGTCTAATCCTATTAGGTCTACACTCAGTTTTCTATTTGCTATCTCCACGGCACAAGCCCTGTAGACAACTTCTCCCAATAGTGTTTCACCCCCAGCAGTAGACACAAATAACATTGAATCAAATTTATCAGGTAATACATTAAATTTGGATGCAAAAACATGTGAAACAAATGAATGCGATGCACCAGTGTCAAATAAAACATGAGCAATATGGTTACAGATAGTGTATATACCCTATACCACGTCCGGATCAGCATCGGCATTATGTTGTGTGAGGTTGTAAACCCTACTCTGAATAAGAGGTCTTCCTTGATTCTGTTTCCTCGGGCACTCTCTCGCATAGTGCTGGGCACTACCACATATGCGGCAAGTGCTGTTGAGGCGGTAGCATGGTCGGTCCCCGTGATCCTTGCTGCAGTGCTGACAGATCTTACCACGTGCTGCCACTGGAGCCTGAAGGGGAGCCTGGATCACCGGTCTGGGCCTCTTATTCTGTTAGACAGGCGCAGTAGGTGCTGGTCTACGGGGTGGAGCTGAGGGTCTGTGACTCCCTGTTGACTGAGGAAGGGTGTGGAGGCTCCTCTCCACTAACTGTGCCTTTACCAGAACAGCTGAGTATGTCTTGAGCTCCAGTACAAATAAGTGTTGCTTGATCTCTAGGCGGAGGCCCCACTGGAACCTTCTAGCCTTCCTGCCCTCATCCATCAACGTCTCAGGGGAGTATTGACCCAGCTCTAGGAACTTACGAGCATATTCCAACATCGTCCTGTTTTCCTAGACCAACTTGACAAAGTTCATCTCCTTTAGATGTCGGATGTACTAAGGGAGGTACTCCACATGAAAGGCTGCTAAGAACTGCTCCCAAGTGATTAGAATAGGCAGGGTGGTCTGCTTGAGCTCCCACCAACGATCTGCTTCTCCTACCAGCATGTAGGAAGCAAGGGTGACCCTCTGTTCGGGAACCACTCCTAAGGTCTTAAAAGCCTTCTCTATCTCTCCCAACCAGTACTGGGCATCTTCAAAAGAGGATTGTCCTATAAAAGTGGAAGGGTTCAGTCTCATGTACCTCTCTACGTAGCCCGAGTCAATCAATGAAGGAGCTGGGTCCCGCGAAAGAGGGACTGGGCCAGGCTGAGGATAAACTAGGGGGCCATGTGGTGGTACTTGCTAATATGGCAGGGGCATTGGATTATACTGTGGTGGTGTCGGGCAGTACTGTGGCTAGAGCATCGGGTTATACTGCGGCGGTGGTGCCGGGTGATACTGTGGAGGAGCAGCTCGTACCGAGGTGGTTCGGGATCCTCTCACTGCAGCGGTGGCTCAACCTGTGGTAGTGGGGGAGGGTCAAGTAGCTCCCTTCTCTCCTCTCGACCTTGCTGGGCAGCAATGAGTCTTTCCAGCATCTCAAATATTTTGTCCACATCTTCCCAAAGCAAACCATCCGGGGCTGCTCGGTTTAGTGGGGGTCTTCCTCTCCTCATGTCTCTGCACCTGCATTTCACAATGAAGGGTTGAGTAATGATTTATTGGTTTGGTATTTCTCTACGTATTATTGTGTAGGGGACGAGTCCGAGGAACGCGACTCTGATACCAACTGTAACAGCCCCGGAAATTAAAAAGGAAATGTACATAAAAATTATGAGTGCGGAAGTGAAATAAAAAGTTTTGATTAATATCCCTTACATAATAACCGAAACGTACTAACAATATGAAAGAATAAGTTAACTAAATGAAATATTAGAAATGAAATACTATAAGGAAAACTATAAAATATTTAGGCATCTACTTGCCGTCTTCATGCGGAATGGGCTCGGGAACCAAGTCTTCCTGATCTGAAATGGTTAAGTAAGGAATGAGCAACACTAGCCCAGTAAAGACGTCACACTATATCACTGTCACAGAAGTAAAAGTTGGTAGAAAAACAAAAACGACCAATTGAGCACAATTTTTTTAACAAATTCGTTAATTAATAATAAAACCCTTTATTGTCCACTTACCTCGGTGAGATTTATGAAAACGACCCATGGAAACAATAACATCAAAGATATCATGAATTCATACATACTCTGTAACATAGCACATGTCATACTTTTATATTTCAATCATCAAACAACAATTTCCCTCTTTTATCAGCCTACCAATATCCATGGGGATCCATAGGGGTCCTCGCTACACGTAAACCATTAACTTTAACAATTTAATTCTAGGGTCGTCCCCATACCCCGTCCGGTATGGGCACCAAAATAATAAACTTTAATATCTCATCCAGTATGAAGGTGAAGCGGGCCGTCCCCATACCTCGTCCGGTATGAGTGCCAAAATATTTAAAGTCTCCATACCCCGTCCGGTATGGGCACCAAAATAATAAACCTCAATATCTCATCCAGTATGAGGGTGAAGCGGGCCGTCCCCATACCTCGTCCGGTATGAGACAAAGTTCCTGGTAGGGTTCCCTATGGACCTGGTCCGTCCACCATCTCTCAAGATATCTAGTGAAGCTGTCAACTTATCCATTTATCAATTCACATACCTTTTCTATTTTTTCTTAGTTTTTTGTTTCTCACATAATCATGAATACTTAAACAAGTAACGAGCATCCAACAAGGCAAGCATATCATCGGGTTCACAAAATCAAGCCGTAATGAAGTAAATAGTGATTCATGCATTCAAAATCATAGAATAAATAAGTCAGATACTATATTACATTTAGACTGTAAAATAAATCAAACAGGAACTAACAGATAAATATGTCCGATTCGGGGCTCCATTAGCAACCGTAATAATTATTTATATATATTTAATTCATAAAATACAGTTTTATCATTTATTAAAGTTTAATCCCATGATAGAAAATAAGGTGATGGGTCCTTACCTGATTCGAAGTCTAAAATCGATTTTTTTTTTTCACTGTGCCTATGGGCAGTCCCTAGATTCCCTAAATTTTTTCTTCGGAAACTGAAACGCACTCACGGTACCTGCACATGTCCCCAAATAACTCAAAATTAGACCCAGTGCCTACTCGGCCAATTTTGAAATTCCAGCACGGCGGCTCCGCCGTGCTCCGGCGACGGCGTCACCGCCCGCGGTGGCGATCTGCCTCGGGTTGGCTGTTTTCGACCGTTTCCGGTCGAATTCAGCTAAACTAGTACCAGTTCCTACGATAAAACACACGCAAGGCCCTCGGTGGGTCGAAAAAATATAGAAAACTGAGACTTACCGGCGGCGGGGCTTTCTAGTGCGGCGGCTTCTCCGACTCGAGTCACGATTTGGTGTTTTGCTCCGGTCAACCTGTAGAGGAAGGAACGGTGGTCACAATGGTGGAAAAATTACATCGAACAGGAATAGGGAAGGGCCTCATCGGAGGCAAAAAGTGAGAAAGCCCGCAGCGGCGCCGCTGGGCTTCGGCGGCGTTTTTCGGCCAATTGGCCGGTGTTTTGGCTACGATTTGGCCACATGTGGGTTTAGAATCGAATTTCGAGCTAAGGGGAGAATTTTTACCTCGTTTGGCGGCCGAAAAGTGCTCCGATGCGGCGGCGGATGACGACAATCGGTTCTCCAGTGGCTGGGCTGTCTTTTTCGGCGAGGCTAAGGTTTGGGTATGGATGAGATTATTTATAACTTTCTACTTTTAATATGAGCCATCTATCGCGATTTAATCTGAGCCATTCGATCGCGATTAAATAAAAAATAAATCTGGACCGTTAATCGCGATGCAATCTGCACCGTCCGTACGCGTGCAATCTGGGTCGTCCGTACGCGCTTTTGTTCTGGGTCGTCCGTGCGCGCGGGAACGAATCTCAGCCGTTCGATCGCGCGCACGCGGATCACCCACGTGGCTCCCTTCCGTGTGGCCTCCCGCGTCAGTGTCTCTGCCACGCGGCGTGTCCTGGTTGGCCAGGGCTGACCGAGCTGCTGACGTGGCTCAATTTTTCTAAATTGCGTTTTGATTTCCAGTTTTCGATTTTCTTTTTAAAAAATCTCCAGAACCCAAATTTTCACTTTTTTTCCCAAAATTGTTTTCAATTAAATCCCAAAAATAATTTTATCCCTTATTATTATTATTATTTCTATTTAATTAAATTAAACTAAATTAAAACTATATACTATTACATAATAAATCATTATATTCATATAAAAATTACAAAAAATTAAAATAAAATAAAATAATAATAATTTAGGGTGTTACATCTGTCACCTGACGCGTCCTGGTTGGCCAAGGCTGCTGATCGGACAACTTACGTGATACAATTTTTTTAAATTGCGTTTTGACTCATAGTTTCTGATTTTTCTTTCAAAAATATTTTCGAAACTCAAATTTTCATTCATTTTTTTCAAAATTATTTTCAATTAAATTCCTAAATAATTTTTACCCCTTTTTATTATTATTATTATTATTATTATTAAATTAAATTATATTATATTAATACTTAATTATATTTATATAAAATAAATAAAATAAAATTAAAATAATAATAATAAAATAAAAAGAAATAGTTGGGTGTTACAAGGGTTATGTTGGTGGTTTTGGAGTATAATCACACACTAAATTTGAAATTTGAGAATTTATAATTTTAATATTAGATTCGTCTAATTATCTTAAATGTATTAATTTATATTATAAAAATTAAAAAAAATACATAAAATATTATGTTATTAAACACGTAATATTTGATATGGACAATGACTTAATAATTTTCTCCAAATCTTAGATATTAAGTTTATATTTATGTGATACTTCTAATAGTACCATTAATAATTAAAAATTGATATAACAATTATTTTAAAAGTTTGAGGTTAAAATAATAAAAAATACAAAGTTTAATTTAACTATTTAAAAATATTACAAAAGATCAAATTAATATGCCAATAAATAATACATCATTTTTTACTGTCTTTTTTGTTTTTAAAAAATAGTTATTGGCTTCATCGTGTTAGGCCAGACACCAGGTGTTTATCAAGGGTTTAATCTAAAACCTCACTCCTTCTGTGCGTGTTCTCGCGTCAGTATCAGGGAAAATGGCGGTGATGAAGCTACTGCTCTCTCAAGCTCGCCGCTGCTATGTTAACAAATCACACTTTTCTTTATCTTCATCCTTCCACAGATACCTCTCCTCCTCTTCTGATTCAAATCCAAATCCAAATCCAAATCCCAATCCCAATCAAAACGAATCCCCTAGAAAACCACTTCCAGTCCAAACAGTCTCTTACCCTGCCAAACCCAAAGAGCAGACTGAAACAGCCTCTACGGAAACCCTTTCTCCTTCCCAACAACAACAGCAACAGGCACAATCACCATCATCCCAGCCGCGAAATCAATTCCGCAACTCAACCAATCAACAAACTCGGTCGAATTGGACTAGGGAGGACGTTCGCTATGTCAAAGACGCCCCTTCCATATCCCCCGTCTCATATCCCATCCGTGTTGCCCCGCTCCCCGAGGATCGGGTTTCAACTTCCTCTGAGGAAGGAGGGGAAGGGATTGAAGAGCGAATGAAGTGGGAGAATGTAAGGGAGGGTCGTGATGTGGAGACGCCGAGAAAGAAGATTGAGGACCATAATCGTGTCATGAGAAGGATGTTTAGGCCTGTTATTCAAGAGGAAAAGGTTGCCGTGCCGTTTCCGACGCTCATTATGCCAGAGAAAAAGCAAGAGAAGCGGACAATTTTTGATTTGTTGGACGCGATTAGGGAGGTCAAGGTCAGTGCAAAACATTTCATCGTCATCATCATCTCTTTCCTTTTCTTCTTCTTTTTCTTTGTCTTTGATGTTCCTTGTCAATCTTCGAAGAACTCTCTTAAATTCATTTGTCTGTTGGGTAATGTGGTTTTCTGGTTAATTTAATATTGTGCTTGAATGTGGCCTGTCTTGGGAGTGAAAATTATTTTTGGAGGATCTGTATCAGTGAGTATGAACAAATAAATTATTTAGTTTTGTGGAGTCATTTTATTGTAGCATACTCTAGATAGTTTTGGAGATGAAAAACAAGTAAAAGAACCAACTTTTCTTCTTACTCATCACAGTTCGTTGATAAATTCAGTCAATTTATTTTGATTCAATTTTCATATTGTTTATGTTCGAATTAGTTATAAATAAAAGATTTTCTCTATGAATTTTCTAAAATAATTCATTGTTCCAAACACATCCTCGCAAAAAATTGGAAATGAAGCAAAGAATTTTTGACATTAATGCTACAAGTAGAGATGATGTATGATTTTTATGAGAATGTGTGGTAAAAAATAAGTTTTGAATACTATATTGAGAGTTTTAATAAGAAACATGTTCAGCAGGTTATTATAAATCAGAATTGTTCATCTAAAGAAAAAAGAAAAAGAATTGTTTTTATTGGTGCTAATTTGTTTTTGTTTTTCTAGTAAAATTTTCAGGCTAATGCCAAGGCAAACTTTGATGAGACAGTGGAGGCACATGTAAGGTTGGGAATTGAGAAAGGCCGATCTGAGCTGGTATGTGCTAGTTCACCTGAGTTAGTCTTATTTTCTGGAAGCTTTTGTTTTATTTTATTTATTTATTTACTTTTTCTTGGAAAATTTAGGAACGTATCCTGTCCTCTTGTTCATTTAGACTCTATAGTATAAGTTCTTTAAACATTTCTATGTTCTGACGAGTCTTTTGAGAAAATGTTGAACATTGATTGTCATGGCCAGGGAATAAATTACTAATATGCTTTGATATTATTGAAACAGTTCTTGAAATTCTTTTGTTACCATTAAAAAGTAGACCCGTTTGATATAATGGGATTTCCGGGCATGGTAGGCTTGTTCGAAAGGCAGCAAGCTTATGTCATTCTCTTCTATGACATTTTCTATCTTTCTTTGTTTTCTATTATGATTCATGCGATTGCTTATATCCTTCCAGGATTTCCTTAGATATCAAGCTGTTAGTTCATTTAATATCAAATGCGAAGTTATTTGTTCTTTTCTAGCCCAATGAGATCAGTTCTTGTCACCTCATCAAATGAAATCAAATTTGACGAAAGTCTGTCAAACTACTCCATGTTTTTTGATTGCACCTTGGGCAGAATTATCAGAAATCAGACATGTTACTTTTGTATGATGTTTGACCTCTACTTACCTTCTATCTTGATCTAATAAATTTTGTATTGTTGCATCTTTGAAAGAAGTAGCTAAATACATCATTCTGTCAATTGTGTCTTACCTATTTGAAAAGATCTTTTTCATAAGAAAAAGATATTTAATACAATGGAAAACAAAGGAACTTATTTCTTAAGCTTTTATCTTTTTGCTGTGGATCTCAGCTGATTTTGGACAGATTGAATTGTTGAATATATCTCTCCAAATTCCTAAGAACTAGTTTTGTAAAGCTCAGCTGGCTGCGTCTTACATTTTTTTAGAACTCTGCGCATGTGAAAAGTTTGGAAAATAGCATCTGAAGCACTTCTTTTAGTAGCTTTTTAGAGTAGTAAGTACAGAGCACTTACTGTGGACCTCATATGTCAGTCCTTCCACTGAATTGCATTTCATGTGCTGTATCTTACTCTTGTTTAACATCTTCCTATTATTTTTTCTAGAAGACACATTGCAGACAGAGGCATCTAGGATGCCAATCATGTTCAAATAGAGAACAAAAATTACGAAAGAGAATAGAAAAACGGATCTATGAGTTCACCAAGGTTTTCTCTATTAAAGGAGAGGATGATCTTTAAACAAAAAACCCAAGTTCTGAACCAATGGTCTCTAAACCTAGCCAAATAGGATACAACACCCTCAGAGCTTCTTTTCTCTCTCTTCACATGGTTGAGACCATGGCATGAGGAATAAGGGCCTAAGCTTCTTCTTGCATAGGTCTTCGTGCATGCCTCCCCATGTGAGCAGCTCAGCTGAGATGTTCCTGCTCACCATGCACTGGATGCCAAGTAACTGATCTCTGAATCCCGTAGCTTCTCCTCTCAAATCACCATGAAAGAAGATGGTTATCGGATTCACTACCACTAAGGCAAAGTAATGATTGATAACGATGCATCCTTCTTCTTCAAGTTATCCAAGTGAGAATGCAGCTCCTAGAGGCTTCCCATACAGAAAAGAAAACCACCAGAGACCTCTTACTTATGACTAACATTATTCTAGTCTCCTAATTCTTTGTCACACAAATATGATCTGCTAAACGGTTCCATCTTTTGATCTGATTAGCTTAACCATAACATAAAAGATTAGGTGATAGTATATGCTTAGTGTTATAACATCTCATACAATTTCTTGTTTAGATTAACATAGCTAATGGGTAATTCCTAATTTTAATACGCAACATCTCTCTAATAAATACATTATATGGAAGTTCTTACTCTTGCCATTAATGTTATAGCCTTTATTTTGTTGATTCTGGCAGTTACATTCTTTTTACTGACACTGTTAATTGAATTGCAGATAGTCCGTGGTACCTTGGCTCTTCCTCATGCTACTAAAAAGGTATTTCAAAGAATTATACTTATTCACCATAAGATGTATTTTAATTCATTTATTGACAACCATTTCACTTTTCAGGATATCAGGGTGGCCTTCTTTGCTGAAGGGGCCGATGCAGAGGATGCAAGGGCTGCAGGAGCTGATATTGTTGGTGGTGTTGAACTTATTGAGGAAATCGCAAGTAATGAACTGAATCTGCAGAGTTACATGCTACCAACTGATGTTCCACCTGATTTGTTGAAAGCTGTTAAAGAGAATAATGCTGCATCTACTTTGTGTTGTGACATTGGCTTTTTTAGGACATTAGCTTATATAACCTCTCTCTCTCTCTCTCTCTCTCTCTCTCTCTCTCTCTCTCTCTCTCTCTCTCTCACACACACACACACACACACACATAAAGAGGCACACACAGAGGAATATATCACTTGCAGTTGTCTTGTTAGATTACTGTCCTTTTGTGGAGAGGCAAGATGGAATCTTTTTTTTTTTTTTTGAGGAATCACAACGGAATCCATTCACACTTGCCTTCATTCCATCTTTTTCAAGTATTGAATTTGGCTCTAAAAGCTTTCTTTTTATTTCTGCAGACAGTGGGAAGATTGACTTCGATAGGTGCTTCTCAACACCTCAAGTCATGCAGCGAGTTTACAAGGTTTGTAGTTTGATTAGTTTTATGATTGTCTGATAAGTGAATCTACGGGTTCTTTTTTTCTTCAGATGGCATTTCTTTTCCTATCTTGCAGATATCCAGGATTCTCAATCATCATGGTCTGATGCCAAATCCTAAAGTAAGTTTATCCTCTCTATTAGATTTAAAGAAAAAGTTTATCATCTTGTCGGTAACTTATAACATCCTTAAATTCATTGATAATGGTATCTTGTATAGCAAGGTACCGTGACCAAGGATGTTGCTAAAGCAGTAAGAGAAGCAAAGCAGGGACATACCAAATTTAGAATGGACAAAACTTCTATTGTGCATGTGCCTCTAGGGAAGGTTTGTTGTCTTCTAGTGAGTTAAAGTATTAATGTTAATTTCTCATTTTACGGGCTTTAATATATAGTTCTGATAATTATCCACAGGTGAGTTTTACAGAAGAGGCATTACGTGAGAATGTGGGTGCATTTATGAATGTCCTTTTGCAGGCGAAACCTGCTGGCTTGAAAAAAAGTAAGTGGTACATACCATATGTTCTTTTATAGGCTGAAACACATTTAGATAAGAATTCAGTGCATATTGGAACAGAGGTCTAATCAGATATGGAAGCATGGTTGGATTGAAATCACTGACTTGGGTTCAATGGCTGTCTATGATAGAGTTTAATGAGTTCTAAATACTTTTTTTTTTTCAATTGTGAATGCTCTTTCATTTTTTTTCTTAAGAAAAACAGATCTATGTTGACACGTGTAGGATGCTCTCATGAAAAATTACTTGAAACGGTGCTAAATATCGTGCACAACGAAAGTTTTTTTTTTCATGTTTCCTTCTCAAGTTCATTTCAAGGTAAGAAACTTAGTTTGATTTCTGCAACAATATTCTTCTATCTATATGAATGGCAATTAATTGGTCTTAGTCCAAAGTGTTCAAATCAGAGTAAAAAATCTTTGACCTCTCTGTACACTTGAATCTGAGAAGAGAAATGTTTGGCAACAGAAGGTAGTGCATACTAGAATTCATTGGTAACAGATACCCTGGTTGCTTGTTCATATTAGACATTCAATCCCTTTTATTATTATAGAAAAAGAAATATTATTAGAAAGAGGAGAGAAACTTACAGCCATATAGGACAAGAAATCCTTTTACAACAACAGAAAAGAATACATAAAAATCAAAACGACACAGACTTCCCAATCTCCTTATAGAAGAGCCAAGGAGGTATCTCTTAGAAACCATGGACTTTTGCCTATAAAGAAAAAAGAAAATCAATCAATTCCAAGGAAGTACAGAGGGTATGAAAGATCTAGTGCTGCACTCCAATTACAACAACCACACACCAGCAAAGACAGCTCCTCATCCAAGCACCCTAGCTTCCTTCTAAAGTTCCACTCACTTAAAGGACATAGAAAGAAAGCACTTGAGGGAATGGAACAACACACAGGAAGGCAAAAGAAAGATTCTAAACAGCAACCTCTGAGCCACCTCAAAATGAAAAAAGAGATGACGAGGAACTCAGCTTTCCATTAAGCACATAACTCATATGGAGAAAGAGCATGGTTAGGCCTGCAAATACTTGCAACAAATCACTAGTATTAAGCCTATTCAGAATGGTAGTGGAAAAAAAAATGATAATTTGATTGTAGCAGATTGTTCAAATTAGTCTTGGCCTCTTTACGAGTGCTGTCCTTGGACCTTTTTGAGTAATCGTTCTTTCAAGGGGATTATCATTGTCCTGTTGCTGATAGATTCGTGCCTCAGGAACTACCACCTCTCCTACTGTGGTGATCTTAATCATATGATTGTAGATGATTCTTGAATTCTATATATATTAATTAAATTCATGGATTTTTTGCCAAGCATAGAGCACATTTAATGCATTTAGTCATTTGTCCATTTAGCCACTATATTCTATGCTACTTACAGATAGTTTCCATTGCTCTCTGCAGCTTCCAAATATGCTGGCTATGTGAACGCCTTCCATATATGCAGCACGGTGAGTTCATAAACCATGCCATAAATCATGCATAAATTTTTGAGATCAAACCTTTTTTTGGATGTCTTTCACTAGGTTACATATTTGACATTTAAAATAAAGTTTGTTTATGCATTCAGGAAACGTCTTGTACTTGTGGATGTGTATCTAACACATGTTAAAAATTAACCAGTGACTCTTTCTCATATTAATAAGAGGTTTTGAAATTTCAATTCCATGTTTAATCAACCATCCGCATTGATGGATGGTTATTCTAGTTACTGCCATGGAGGTGTTATCTGTTTAGTTAGACTTACTTTCGTAATTCTGTTACTTAACCTTATAAAAAAAACTTGCAATTTCAATTATATGTGTTGATCAATGCACCTATTGTAATGTAGGAGAAATATGGTTGATTTGTCCAATTAGGTACTTGGGAATAAGACTTATACATCACACCTAGGATTTTTATACATCATATTTAAGAAGATTTAAGCATCATACTTAAGGGTTTGATTATATCACAGAACTAGAAAATTGAGTTGACTCTCAAAGTACTTTATTGAATAACTGAATGATATATCAGGGATCAAATTATAACGAAAAAAGAATGAAGAACTAAATTGTAATAAGCACCTAATATCTGAGACTAATTTAGTTATTTGTGCAAATATTTATTGTAAAAAAATGTTGAAAATATAGACATAAAAAAATCCTTTTCAACTTCTAGTTTGGGAATCCTCATCATTGACTTCATAGATCAAATATAATAAACTCTAGCTATAAATTATCCAGTGGTTGATATGCCATCAAGTGCTCACAGATACACATATCCACACCAATGTCTTATCATGTCTGGCACAGGGATGGCACTAAAATTAGTGTCTCCGAGCAACCCAGTTCCTTAGTACATGTTTAGTTTTAGTTATGATAATAGAAATGATTTTCCAGGTTGTTTACTTTTTAGTTTTGATAATAAAAATGATTGTAAAGTTTTTCTTAGCCTAGGAAATTCAGTTTACACCCAGATGTTGAATAACCCTGTACTGGTTACGTGCAGATGGGCCCCGGATTCCCTGTTTCAATACAATCATTATCAAGAGCAGCAGATCACTATAACAAGGTGCAGCTTAAGTGATGTCAAAGCCCTCATAACTGCAACTTAGATTAAGCACCCTTCTTAGCAGCTTTCTTATACGAACTACCAAGATGTTGGCACACGATTGGACTTGTTTTGGACATGTTAGTAGAATTAGTTTATAAACATTTATTTGGTTTTGCTCACACTCCTGTGTATTTTCCATTTAAGCATATAGTCAGATTTGGCATTGATAGAACACTTATCTAATATTTTTTTACTTCTACTGGATTGTTTCTAACAATTTTGGAGTGTAAAATCCACATTCTTCACCCAGTTCTCTATTCATTTGATCACCTTATGTTGGGAACAAATGATTTCATTTTTTCAAATGGAATTTATGAGCTCCGATCCTTGAATTACACTGTGAAGACATTTTTTTAGTGGAGTTTATGTTGGGATCTTCTTTTCCCAATTTCTTTTCTTTTCTCTTTTTTCTTTTAGTGTTTTTTCACTCATGGATTCACAAATAAACTCCTTTCTTTCTTACACAAATATCCTCTATGGTCACACTCTCTTCATATCATGTTCATGTTTTTGTCATGAAAGAAACCAAAGACTTCACCCTTAATCATTGCCCTCAATCTCATGGTGGTTAAGGTGTCGCTATGCTTTTGTTTTTCTAGTGAGAGTTTGACTGGCGTCAGTCAGTTGGCAAGATGGATCAGAGATGATGACAGACAAGGAGAGTTGCCAACGTTGGAGATGAATTAAAATGAATATGAACATCAGAGATGCATATCTGGGAAAGATGAATACCAGAGGTGCGTTTAGAAGATTCTCCAAGCTTCTTGATCAACTCTAGAAACAACTTCAGTTGTGTTTTCCGTGTCAATCTCGCTGCACTGACCTTATCTTTATCTTTTTCTTTTTTTTCTCATCACCCTATCTGATGTTTCAGGGAGAAATTTTCTTTCCTTTCTTCTTTTTGCCCCTTCTACTGAGCTTAGAAGAAATTTCTAAAAGCATCATCCAATCCTTATCTTTCTTGGTCAAGCCTTCTACCACTTTCAACATGCTTAAGAAAATATGAAGTATAGACTCCTAGTCTTGCATGTAATAGTTCAAGAAAAGTTGGAGAACAAACAAAGAGATATGGAACCAAGTTTAGACTTCAGTTCTGCATTTATGGTGATACGATTATGATAGATAATCTTATCTAACTATCAAAATCATCTTTAGCACATGGTAGCTCATTTTTAAATGTCTCTTATCTAGTTGTTCTATTGTGCTTACTCTGGAAGTGATATATAAAAGCAATTGATATTTATGTTTACATGTTAGATTGTGGGACATGGAAGTAGGAATATAGCACTTGGCTTCCTCTTCATCTTCATGCCTTGTTGTAAATGGAGATAATATCTTCACTAGCAGAAGATTTTAGAAAGGCAGTGTGGGCTTGCGCTTTTCAATCAAATTTTCTCTCAATAACCCACTCTGGCCTAATGGGTAACAAAAGAAGCTACTAGTTTCTTTGTTTAAATTATCTACTTGTTCTATTCTGCTTACTCTGGAAGTGATATATAAAAGCAATTAATATTTTTATGTTTACATGTTAGATTGTGGGACATGGAAGTAGGAATATAGCACTTGGCTTCCTCTTCATCTTCATCCCTTGTTGTAAATGGAGATAATATCTTCACTAGGCCGAAGATTTTAGAAAGGCAGTGTGGGCTTGCAGTTTTCAATCAAATTTTCTCTCAAGAACCCATTATGGCCTAATAGGTAACAAAAGAAGCTGTTAGTTTCTTTGTTTAAAATTATACCCATCACTTCTACATTGTAAGGAATCACATGGTCATTCAAGGAAATAGTCAACAGAATATTTGTAGAATGAGGACATATCATCATTAAGGTATAGAACGCTAGGAATATACATAGCCAATGATTAGCAAACAGTTGTATTAATTTCATTATTTATTAGCTGTATTTGCATACACGTATAATATATATATTGATTATTGTTGTCTATATAATAAAATTACTCTCATCTCACAAATCATGAACTGAGATTTGTTTAGTACAAATTCGTTAAAATATTGAAAGTTTTTCTTGTTATCAGAGCCAAGCATCAATGATTGGAGGTAGTAGTAATTCAACAACCTCTTACAACAAAACAAATGAAGGAAAGACTCAAGCAAACAACACAACAATGATCAAAACTTTGAATTCAGCAGGAAATTAAATGGGTACATACTCAATAGTTAAGTTGAACCATAAGAACTATTTATTGTGGAAGAATATGGTATTATCCATTATTAGGGGAAACAAATTAGAAGGATTCATAACGGGAACAAAGATCTGCCTACTGGAGTTCACAGAAGAAACGATGAATGAGTAAGTTTAAACCTTGTCAAACCTAGAGTTCGAAGGATGGTTTGCCCAAGATCAAATGTAACTAGGATGGATATACAGTACTATTGAACTAGTGGTGGTTTCTAAATTAATGAGACATGAAACATCAAGAAACTTTTGGAATGCAATCAAAGAGTTATTTGGCTTGAAAACTAGATTAAATATAGTTTTCTATAAAAGAGAGTTTGTTAAGATGCAAAAAGGAGGAATAGAGAGGGAGGGCACGTTAAAGCAATGAAAACTCTAGCTGACAACTTGGCATTAGCAGGTCACCCTATTTCCCAAGAAGTCTTGGTCACTCAAATTTTAGTAGGCTTAGGTTCACAAGATACAATCCACTGGTGCGTCAAATAGCTGAGAAATAAACGATCAGCTGGGTTGAGCTTCAGTCCAAACTATTGAGCTATGAAAGAAGGCTAGAACAACTACACGTTGAGATTGCAACCATCAACCTTAGTCAGCTTGTGGCTAATTATGCAAGGAGCATAAACCCTCCAAATAGGAATCAAAATTATTGTTACAATGGTGTCAGATCTATAAACTATAACAGAGGAGGAAGAAGCTATACAAAACATGGTAGAATTGGAGGAAATAGACCATTGTGTCAAGTGTGTAGAAGGATTGGGCATACTGCAGCACTATGCTATTACA